GAAAATTCGCCAGAAAGTAAACTTGTGGCGCTCTGCGCGGATCTCTTGGATCGGCGCCTGGGCCCCCCTGGCGGCGCCTCTGGCGCCGCCCCTGGCGCGCTCCGCGCGCCAGGGAATGGGTCCAGCGCAGATCCAGGAATTCCGCGCAGAGCGCCAAATTGTATCTTTATGCCGTGTTTTCGTTGTCTAACGCCATCGTGACGTGAGTTTGCCGTACGTGTTCTTGCGTGTACGGCTTGCTCGCAAGGTTCAATGTCTTCGAGCGCCCAATGAGGGACGCCAGGCCCGCGAGATTCACCGAGCGCGGTCCACTGCCGACTCGCAAAGGCCCCAAAAATGTCTGCCTGCCTCGAGGTAATGTATGATTAATTCCCCGCGGCGGATCGACGCCACTTGAGAGTAGTTACTTTGCGAGTCTTGGAACGCGCTTGTCTAGAGATTGGTGGCTCGTCGGTGCCCCCCATCGCGGCCCCCCATCGCTGCTCCGCATGGTGGCCCCGCACCGTTGCCCCACATCGCCTGTGCAGACACGCCGACGGCGGTGCAGGGACTGGCGATGTGGGCCTCGGCATCGCAGGCGGGGGCGGCTCGTGGCCAACCCGGGTGCAGGAAAGCGCCGCTCGTGCTCTCCTGCCACCTCTTCTGCGCGAGCTGGGCGTCGCGAGAAGCAGACTCCCGATTCGCCGTGCACCAGCATCGCCGTTGGCGTGGCCCGGGATCGCTGCCCCCCCGTCCCCTCCTCCCGGAGGGTTCCAAAGAAGGTTTTCGTGGGGAGGGGGTCTTCCAGAGAGCCCCCCCAGGGGCCTCGGAACCTCGTCAAAACAGGGGGTGCGAAGCCCCTGGGGGGGCCCTCCTGGAAAACCTCCTCCCAAAAACCCTTTTGGAACCCTCCGGTCCCCGTTGCCCCCCCCCATCGCCGCCTCCCACCGTGCCCCCCCCCTCACAGCCAATGCGCATGTTTTCCACCACCACCACCATCATAAGTTGTGGAGGGGGGAAGGAGGAGGAAGAAGAGGAGGAGGAGGAGGAGGAGGAAGCGGAGGAGGAGGACCCCCTCCCCGTCCAAATTATGGTGGTGGTGGTGGAAAACAGGCCCATCGACAGCTGCGGATTCTCCCGACCCTTCTATAAGGGCTGTGGGGCCCCCGAGGCCGGTGGGTGGCCCGGCGTGGCCCCCCACCGTGGCTCCGCACCGTCCGGGCAGGAGATCGATTGCAGGGTTGGCCTATCCTCGGGGGCGGATAGACCTCCTACCCTGACACGTCGATTCAGGAATTGGCCGTTTTCGGTTCGCGAGAGGGCCTCGCGGCCGTCGTTTCTGCGGGTCCAGGTCCGTCGGTGTCGGTCCCAGGCCGTTTTTACGAAGGGGAGGTTGACTAAAGGGAGGTTTGTCCACCGCGGACGATCCCCAAAAGTCATTCTTCCCTCGAGTCTCCCGAGGTGGCGCAAGGAGTGTGCCGCAGATCGCTACGGAGCACTCTGCGTGTTCGTTCGCAGGTCTCACGAGAAGATCGATGGTGGGGTCCATCGATGCTGCAGTCGATCCCTTGCTCGAAGCGTGGCCCGCCACCGTGGCTGCCCCACACCCCAGCACCGTGGCCGCCCACCGTGGCAGCGCACCGTGGCCACGCCAGAGTGACTTCTGTTTTGCAGCTCGGGTAGGGGATCGAGTGCTGCATGATCTGCCCCAAAAATTGCTTTTTCAGTGGGATCTACGAAACATACGACGATTGTGCCGTTGACCTGCCAACATGCTACGTATCTGTTCGCAGGGTCGACAAGGAAACCAATTCTGGGGTCAATCAATTCAGTAGTCGACCCCCTACTCGAACAGTCAGACCGAGGCATACGATCGAGGTCGGTTCGGGGAGGGTGCCCCAGTGTTCGTCGTGTTTGTCGGATGTTCTTGTGCGTCCTGAGGAGGGTATACCCAGTTGGTGCTCCGTGCGTTTTGGCCGACGGAGGGTCTCGTGCGCTTGAAGGATGTTCTGCTGGCCTAGATCCGACTGTATATGGTGCTCTTCTCCTCGCATCTGCAGAGCTGTTCGTGGCCATCTGCCCGCCAGGGTGTCCTTCTGATGCTGCGAAGGCCTTGCGGCCAGCGCCGCCGACCCGGAACGGGGACGACGGCGACGGCGACACCGATGGCGACGACAGCGCTCACGTCCTGCACCATGGAGCCGAGAGCTCCTCCCAGGGAGGGGCGCTCTCCCCGGAGGGGGCGCGGGCCACGACCCCCGGGGCCGCTTCAGGGTCATCTGCCGCGAGGGTTAAGTCGGGCCTGTCCCCCTCCAGGGGGATCTTCGACGAAAAATGAAAAATAACCAAAAATAGTACAAAAATAATCCAAAAATAGTCTGGGGATTATTGTTTGAGTATTGTTTGACCATTTGGGGGCATTTTGGGGGTATTTTTTATTTTTCGTCGAAAATCCCCTGTAGGTGGACAGGCCCGACCTAACGCCAGGGTGGTGTCGTTCTGGCACGTTGAACGCCGCCAGCGACCCAGAATCGGTCGACGTTGAACGGTCGGACATCTCGGAAACTGCCGATCGTTCAAGGCTGAGCGATCCCCGCGGTGGCACTAATCTAGGCCTCCTAGATGGGGTCCGAGTAGATGGGGTCGGAGGATCGCGCCGCATCGCCGATGCATCGGCGATGCGGCTCGATGTGGAGCCCGACTTGCTTCACGCCGACGTCGCCGATGCGTCGCCGATGCATCGCCGATGCATCGCCGATGTATCGGCGATGCGGCTCGATCCGCCGACCCCATCTACTGCGACCCCATCTAGGAGGCCTCTAACATTAAGTCGGGCCTGTCCCCCTACAGAAGGATTCTCGACGAAAAGCAATAAATAGTCAAAGTGTACTCCAAAATGGTCAAACAATACTCGAAAAATAGGCCCCAGACTATTTTCTGACAATTTGCGAAGATCCCTCCTGCAGAGGGACAGGCGCGACTTCACTCGAACAAACCAGCGCCGGAAGTCGGCGCGTCACGAAGCCTTTCGTATTTGTCAGGAGGGGAAAAAAACACAGACACAACTAAGCGTCGACTCCCAGGAGAACATGGGAAAATATGGGAAGTGGGGGCGAAGACAAAAGCCCAGACAATATAAAAAAATATCGGGCATCTTTTTATTTGCGTGTATTTATTTGTGTGTCCTGGGGCCCCCTCAATTTGGGTGGCCTCTGGCGCTCTCCCTCCTCGCCACGGCCAGGTCTGCCTGCGGAGTCCTGGCCGGAGCGCGCTGTGCCCAGGGCAGGTCGCGGGCGCTTGGCGCCGAGGAGGGGCGGAGGCACCACGCTCAGGCGGTGGCGAAGCGTCCTGGCGTGCCCGTGTCAGGAGGGGAACAAATACACAGACATAATTCATCGTCGATCTTCAGGAAAATGTGAGAAAATATGGGAAGTGGGGGGGAAGACAAAAACAGAGAAAATATAAGAAAATACGGGGAATCTTTTTATTTGTGTATTTATGTGTGTGTGTGTCCCAGGGCTCCTTCACTGTAGGCCTACCAAGCCATGCTCTGAGAACCATTTTTGTGGTTTCCACGAGATGTGCTTAGATCACTTCTGGCTGGGGCCGTCGTGTTTTAGCACATCGGTTGTTTTGCTCTAAGAACACTGCTGCTGCTGTTGCAACGCTTCTGGGTTCTAAGAACATGTCGCACTAACGCCTATGGGAATGCCGGGACGGCCGGCCCCTGCTCAACACTCAGCGACCCGACAGAGCTGGTGCCCCCTCCTTTCCGTGCTGCCGCGAGAGCGCGGTCGATGGCCGATGGCAGACCTTTGGCATCGCTCGGACGTGTAGAGTTGTTTCCCCGGCGAGGAGCATCGGGGAGCATCTGAGACCACCTTGCGAAAAGAGAAGGACGCACGAGGCCGACAAAAAGCACGGGGAATGGACGTCCGAGCGATGGCAAAGACCACGCCGAGTTCTGATCACAGGAGCTGATCGACCCGCCCTGAATCGGGCGTTGCAAAGGGGAGGGGGATCGATGCGTCGGGGGGGGAGGAAAGTTGCGCTCTTTGGTGCCCCAGAGTAGCCCCTTCGGGCCCAAAAGGGGGACGAATGGTGAAAGCTTCTTCCCACCACAGATCTCGACTCCATTAAAATCGGCGGCAAGCGAGAGGGGGAAGTGAGAAGGAGAAGGCCTTCTCAGAAGGCGGCGGGATTTCTCAGAAGCCCTCGCGCCTTCCGAGAAGTCTTCTGTGTCTTCGGGGAAAGCTCAGGAAGCTTCGCAGAAGGCCGGGGGACTCCCGAGCCTTCTGAGAAGGTCCTCTCCTTCTCACTCTCACTTCCCATCCCCGCTCGCCGCCGAATTTTAGCAATGCCCGACAGGTTCGGGGGTTCCCGGGGGGGCGGGAGGCATTTTCCAGGAGGGGCTCAGGCCTCCAACGCCTTGAAAACACATCACGGCGCACGACAGTTGCCCCAGGCCCGCCCGCGGCCTCCGACCGCCCAGCGGCGCAGCGAGCCCCTGGGCCAGACGTCGGGGACCCAGTTTCCGTGCCGCCGGTGTGGGACCCTCCCCCTTAGCATTCGGGGCTCGAGGGACATCACCACCCACCAAACCACCCCAACCCAACCCGAAGGCTCAGATTTACCCTCGATTTCTAGTGGGGGGGGGTCCGGGAACATCGAAAAAACACATATGGAGCCCATAACCCCCCCCAACCCGAAATTCGGGTCTTCGGGTTGGGTTGGGGTGGTCTGGTAGGTAGTCAGGACAGGGGTCAAGTGCAAACGGTGGTCAGTCAGAGCGCCGGACTCTGCAGGATCCTGCGGAGCCAGGGGCGCACTGACCCTGGCTTGGGTGCAGGATCCTGCAGGGTCCTGCAGGATCTTGCAGGATCCTGCAAAGCCGGACTGACCCGGTTCTGGATGGACCCGGGTCAGTAGATCCCCGATACATGTTTGTGCGCCGCTCGTCGTCCTCCTCCTCCTCCTCCTCCTCCTCCTCCTCCTCCTCCTCCTCCTACTCCTCCCTGCAGGCGTACGTCTACGACATCACACAGGGCATGGCCAAGGGCATGTCCCAGATGCTCGTTGGCAAGCAGATCGACCTGGTGCCCCACACTGGCATCGTGGTCTTCGGGAGGGAGTACTTCTTCGGCGGCGGGCCGTCTATCTCTGACAACCCCGGGAAGTCGGTGCCAGTGCCAGTGGCGCAAACAATCGTCCTGGGCGAAACCGACAAGACTCGCGAGGAGCTGGAAGCATACATCTCCGGGGTTTTGGCCCTGGAGCACAACGAGCAGAACTACAACCTGCTGAACCACAACTGCAATCACTATGCCGACGCCGTCGCGAGGTTTCTCCTGGAAGGCCGGGGCATCCCAGACCACATCGTCAACTTCGGCCAGGATGCTCTCTCCACCCCTCAGGGCCAACAGCTCCGGACCATGATCGAGGGCATGGAGAGGGACATGCGCCGAGGCGGCGGGGGGTCTGGCATGAACCCGTTCGGCAGCGGGGCCCCCCAGCCAGCGCCACCGCCTGGGCACGAGGACGTCGCCAGCCAGCTGATGGCGATGGGCTTTCCGCCCGACCGCTGTCGGGAGGTGGCGGCTCGCTCCGGCGGTGATGTCGTGGCCGCTGTGGCGATGCTGACCAGCGACTGATCGCGCGGCGAAAACAGGAGAGCTGCAATCCCTCCCTCGCTCTTAGTATTGAGTTAGATTTCATCCCGAATTGGATATCTGCTTGCCGTCTTATTCTGTGCTCGTAAGAACGTCAGCATCGAGACTGTTCCCTGGGGCCGCTCAACATCCGCTGCAGGTTCTCCAAACCCTTGCGTGTTTCCTTCCTCGCAGCCTGTTCTGCTGCAACCTCGTCAAGATCTGTGCCAAAGTGTTGCGCCAATCGGTAATCCTGCCTCTTGGCGTTCCTCGCGTGACTGTCCTCGGTTGGCAGAACACTGGCAGGGCGCACTCCTACTTTCAAACTTGCATCGTTCGTTCCTTGCGAATCTTGCACGCGCCCCCCTCTCTTTCTTTGGTCCTCGGGCCCTCCGTCTGGTCCGCAGAGAAGCTCAGTGGGGCGCCTGTCGGAGGACTCTTCCTCCTCTCTGGCGGCAAGGTTCGGATAGTGCTGCTGGGCGCCCCCTCCCCGTCAGTTTTCGTTATATGTGCTGCTCCCTGTCCCCTTCCAGGGATGTGGTCGGTACTGCGAGTCTGTCTGCTCGCCCACCGCGCTCGGGCGTGGCTCCGAGCTCTGGGAAATACAGCAACGGTGCAGGAGCAGAAGGGCGGCATTTGTACACCTGGACTGTTCCTGCCCAGGCCAATCTTGGACCCAGGATCCGTGTATTGTGTTGGCCTCCGGCCAGTGCCGCCGATCCGGGGGGCTTCCCGCTGCTGTTGGCAGCAGTCCTGTGCGTTCCTTCTCCTTTCCCCCTGCCTGTCATTTCTTTCCTCCCCTTTCGTCCCTCCCCCCCACCTCCTTCGTCCGTATTACAGCGCCCCCCCCCCCCGTCCCCCACAGAGCAGAGCTGCGACGGAGAGGAAAGCGGAGCACATCGCACCCCACCCCACCCCACACACAGAGCAGAGCTGCGACGGAGCGGCATTTGTGCACCTGGACTGTTCCTGCCCAGGCCAATCTTGCACCCAGGATCCGTGTATTTGCCCCCCCCGGCTGAGCCAGGATGTCGTCTGTATCGATCTTCGGCCCCAGATTGCCTTGGCCAGGATCAGTGTATAGTTTATACTTAGCTCCCGCCTTCAAGACCTGACCATGCGACCCCGTTTTTGGCATGGCGATTCCCCGCCTTGCGCCTTCCTGGGCCCCTGCCTCCTTCCGGTGCCGTGGGGGCCCGCAAGCAACCTTGCATTGCCAGCTTGACCTGGCTTGCGATCGGCAGCCGGTGTTTCTCATTTGGCCTTGGCCGCCAGCGCACCCTTCCCACTGCATTCGCGCGCAAAGCTGGCCATCGCAAGTGCCGTGGGCGGTCCAGACTCCGCCGCGGAGAATGAGAAACGGATGCGACATGTATTTTGACCACTTTGGCAGTGCCCCCTGGAGTTCAGGCTGAGTCGCACACCGTTTTTTCATTAAGCACTGGCGGGCAACTAACGGCGCAATTTATTCAGAATTCCAAAGCGTTCGCTTGCCAGTGCGTTAGAATTCCAAACGCGCACTCCCACTGGTGAGCTAGTGAGCACTCGCAACGCTGACGTGCACCGCGTGCTGCTTTCCTGCAACATGTCACAATCGCGTGCACGTTGCCATGCCACTCTGGCAAACCCATGCGATTAACGCGCGCATGCGTTTCGACGAGGGAGCGGGTGGAAGACCTTACAGATGAGAGATGAGGGAGACGAGGGGGCGGAGAGGGAGGAGGAACAGGCGGGCGACGGGGCGATGATGGGGCCCACACCGATCGGTGTCCCTTGCGTTTTCATTGCACGCGTGGACACAGAAAGAGCATGTGGTACATGTCGGTGCCGGCACCCGCGTCCATGTTAAAGCGCGCCGGCAGGCGACGAGAAGCGTCTGCAAGGTGATGCAAGAGCCGTTTTTTCAGTCAGAAGTATGATGTGTCCTCTTTTTTCTTTCTCCCTCTCCTCCTTGGTCCACACTGCTGCTGATGCTCTATTTTCCCGTTCGCCCACTGTTTTTGTTTCTCGTCGCCACCGTCGTCGCATTCGCCCCCTTTGCAGGGTATGGAAGACGTGTGCCTACCGGTCCTCCCTCCCTGGTGTGACCACTCAGTTGGCCAGCTTGTGCTCCACGTCGTCCTCGGCCCTCTGGCGCGGCCACTTCTTTTGAGCTCCTCGCACCAAGCCTCCACTGCTTTCACCTGGTTGCGTTTGTTTCTTCCGGAGGTGAATTCTGGGTGTGTGGACTTGTCGGTCTGGTCCGAGACGCGTGCTGCACTAGATGCCAGCACGGCGCGGGCGAGGGCGGCCAGGGTGGCGATGCCGCCGGCGCGGCCACCGAGAGCGCAAAAGCAGAAAGGCATTTAGATTCTCAAAATCTAGCGCTTGGGTGTCTGTGGTGAAGACCAGACGGAGCGCCAGCTAAACGCGCTGGCAACAGCTGGCAAGCTTTGTGTATACCCTGGAACGGCATGATTTTTCCGTCGGAAAGGCATGGGCCCCGTCGGCGGGGCAGGAAAAGGCTGATTTGCACCACCACCGTACCGCCGTACCGCGACCTGAGAGTAGACAGCGCAACTGCAACCTAGAAGGGCGACTCGCCCACCTTACTCCTGAGGATGCTACGTGCTCGCGTCGGGAGGGGTGCCGTCCACCAGGCAAGCCTTCAGCAGGAGGACCCTGGGCCATTCTGGCAACCGTGACGCAACAGCGCGACTCTCAGACCATGAGGCAGCCAGGGCGCGCGTGAGGCTACAGCGGGAGCATGGGGGCAATCCTGCGTGCAAGTCTTTACTTTGGCCCTGGCGCAACAGCGATGCTGGCAGACCTCGAGGTCCAAGAGAAAACAACAAACAAACAAAACAAATGTTTTGATTTTGCCAGCGCCAGGGTTATTTGACACAGACAAAGTCGATGGATCCTGGGCGATATCGCAGCCCGTCAAGCAAGTCCCGTCGATACTGGAACGCTTGGGCTAGGCGTCTCGGTCACTGGCCCTTTCCCCGTGTTCCACGGGCAGCCTCGTACCTTGTCGGGCCAGTACGTCAGCAATGGGGGACCAAATGGCTTCGTCTAGCGCTCAATCCCTGGGAGACGCCCCCACCTTTGTTTTTGTTGTTCGTCGGCCCTTGGCGAGAAGGGCCTGCTATGACAGCGCGCACTGACGCTGTCCTGCGAGGCGCGGCATACGAGGCTGGAACCAGACTTCCCCAGCCGCACCACTGAGCTCGGCGCTGGCGAGAAGGGCAGAGGCAGACAGTGGCAGCACGCTCTGGGGCTAGCCTGCGCGGGGATCGACGCTCAAGCTGCCTTCAACCGCGGTGCCGGGAACGTTGCGTGCGAGAAGGTCCTGCCGTGGCAGCAAGCTCGGCGCTATCCTGCGAGAGGCGAGGTCCGAAGCTGGGGCCGACTGTCCTCCGCGGCGCTGCTGGGCAAGGCGCCCGCGAGAAGGGCTGGCGGTGGCACCAACCCCGCGTGGGCCAAGCTGTCCGGCCAGCGAGGCCCCTGCACCCGACCCGCGCCGAGCGAGGCGCCTTCAGAATGGAGGCGTGTACCAGAGGTGGTGGGCGCTGCACATCTGCCCCGGGCACCTGGAGAACAGAGGGGGCGCGCAGAGCAGGAGCGGCTCATGCTGGGGCCCGGGGGCTTGGGGAAGTGGGCGCGGAGGTAACCTACTAAGGCGTCGCCGCCGCGCGTTTGTGCGCAGACCACCTCTTCAACGAAAAACAAACATCCGCAAGGGGTTCGCCCCCTGCCGCCGTCCCCCTCTCTTGGAGGAAGGGGCCTGGGAGAGCGAAGTCCTGAGATTTTGGCTTTGCTGTGAGACAGTGTCAGGGCCTGTTTGTTTTTCGGCCCTGACCCTGCCGCCGAAGTTCAGGAATGTTTCGAATCCCATGTGTTTTTCGACCCTGACCCGACGGATCTGCGTGAGAGGTGCCGCCGAATTTCAGTGTGGAAGAAATGAGAGGGGGGGGAGTTTCAAACCCCATGTGTTTGTTTGACCCTGACCCCGCCGATCTGCGTGAGGGGCGCAACCGAACTTCAGACATGTGGCGAAACCTTGAAACGCCTCGTCGGGCCGCTGCGGACTCGCTCCCGCTCGCACGGGATGCTTGTCGGGCCGCTCCGACAGCGCTCCCGCTCGTGCAGGCAGGGCTCACGGGATGCTCGTCGGGCCGCTCCAGGGGCGCTTCGGCTCGCAGGCCGAGCGCTTGGAAGCGCGTGGGCGCGCCTGGGAGCGCCTGGGCTTGGATTTCGAGCCTGCCGACGCCGCGCTCCATCCCGGCAAATCTGGAAGATTCTGGCCGACCCGGCTCTGATTCTGTGCTCCGGTACGTCCCAGCTAAATTTCGAGCGGCCCGCTCGTGCCGACGGAGTGCTCGTCGGGCCGCTCCGGCGACCCTCTGGTTCGCACGGAGCGCTCAGGCGCGCCTGGGAGCGCCAGGGAACCCTTGGGCTTGGATTTCGGGCCTGCCGACGCCGCGCTCGATTCTAATTCTTCACGTTTCGCGTATCCCCACCAGCCCATCTCAAAACAGCAACTCTTGCGAAGCATGCCGACAGTCGTGTTTTTCAAGCGTGTTTCCGCCTGCCCCCGCATATCTCCCCTGTTCCTCCTTCCTCCCGCCTCCTTGTACATCCTCCTTGTGGTGGGAGCGGGAGAAGGACGAGGCGGAGGAGGAGGGATAGAAAGCGGTGGGAGGCAAGAGGGATGTAGCGGAGACGACGACCACAGCGATGATCCTAACAACGACGACGCACCCGACGACGACGACGATATCGACCGCGACGACGACGACGACCACAACCGCGACGACGACGACGACGACGACGTCGACGACGACGACGACGAAGGCGGCGGACGACGACGACGACGACGACGACGACGACGACTGGTGGGAGTCGTTGGGGCCCCTCGTGGGGTGAGTCGTTCGGCCCCATCGTCCTTGTGTGAGTCCTTCGGGCCCCTCTTCCTGGTGTGAGTCGTTCGGGCTCCTCGTGGTGTGAGTCGTTCGGGCCCC